TAAACCCAATTTCACCTCACCTAACATGTCCCTAAAAAAATTTATACACGGTATTAAATAAAGGTTTTTGCCTGTTTTACAAACACGTAGATTCGATTGCAGCATTGCACAGTGTAGGTGACCCAGGTTGGGATATTTGCAGGAACAGTGGTGGGTACTTCCACCATACAAGCCCCCCTTCACCATCTTGGTAACGATAATGTTAGGTAAGGATTCAGACTACCCGTTAATTAATCCTGCATCCGCCTCTGTCGACAGTATGGACGTCCACAAAAATATGATGCATAAATAACCAATGTCTTTTGTGTCTTCACACGTTGGCAACAATGTGTTGTTCAGTTGAAGAAATGCTGATAGTTCTGCAAGATGCACTCACAAAACCAGGACAAGCTTAAGCTTCCCTGAAATACGATCGCAAGTGCTGAGAGGTTGATGGACATCGGTTGTGTTAATTGTGTAGGCAGAGAACGCCAACTCTTGTTAATTTAAAATCTTTGTAAAAAGATATTTTTTTAGCCCACATATAATCAGGCCACCATACGTTTTATTTCTGACAGAAGCCCAGTTTATGTAATGATGACTTATGGACCACTCCTCTGTGGGGGTTGGGAATATTGTTTAAGGCAGAATATGTTTGAATATGTCCTTTGAGAGTTGAAGCCAAACAATGTTTTTTGCAGCCACAGCGCGTTATGTTTCTGAACATGTGACCGATTTGTGGTGGAAAGTCTTAGAACTGTTTTCATGATCATTTTGATTGTCAGAACCATACCCTACTTGTCGGTGTCAAAGTGGTAATTTCTGAGACCTGCGTCACTTTTCTTCCACAGTTAGATGACACGCCGTGAAATAACTCAAATACTGTTCAATGGTGCGTCAACCCACGTCACTCACTCGCTCTTAGGATAATGAACAGCATCCCAGCTCAAAACAGACAATCATTATCAGTAATATAAATAAAAGCGACCCTTTCCATGAAAGCAGAGCGCTTAGTACGATTCCGACTTTTCCCGGGGCATGTGTTTATTAATATACATAATACATAGTGATGATACCAGGTGTATGCGAAAAGGTGAGCTGCTGTCGAGACCTGTCACCAACGCATGCAAAGGCAAGTCAATTGGTTACATGATAAACAACAATATTAGAACACATGGTACAAGTCGAAACAGGGAACTACTTCGGACATTATTTTTGTCACTGAAGCGTCAAATTTAGAGATTCTCTCCACTTGCCTACTATAAAACTTAATAGCTATTATAATATCTATAATATTTTGTTGTACAAGATACATCGCTCGCTTCTTTCAAGAAAACCTAAGGCAGTGCAAGAAATATCGGCGATCTCATGTTAAAATTATATGTTTTCATCCTCAATGTCGAACGTGGGAGCAATTTGTCGACAGGGTATGTTTTTGTTTGACTTTAACACGCGTGGATTTTTTCCACGTCAATAACGAAGGCCTTCTAACGCAGCATGCAGTGTCATATTGCAATTACTGGGACCTAAGGGGAACGGTGCTGTACCACGAGGGCAGACAGAACTTAATTCAACATGATAATTTCTTGTGAGAATATGAAAAAGGGGAAACTTCAAGTGTGAATTCTTTTAAGAAATGGATGGGGGCGGGAACGAAGATATATATTGAACTGGACGTGAGTAATGCCTATGAGACGTTAGACTCACGACTTCGTCGACATATCAGGCGACGTGAAGCATGGTTAAACGAATCGGGCCATCGTTCTGGCATCGCACTGTCTGTAATTAGAAGTTATATATTGCGGCGTGACATGGCCAAATACAATTTATATCCCGACATGACGTCCAGGGAATATGCAAGGAGGTCGAAATCGGTATTTTCACGACAAATTGAATTATTTTACGTTCTTCACCAAGCTACAATTAGACTCTGGAGATGCACACGGCGTAACAGGCAGGAAGCAGAGTCTTTTACGCAGGTCATAATGTGATATCTATACAATGCAATTTGATGTTAGTGTTTTGGCTCGGATTAGTTCTGGATTGTGCTCAAATGCCTTGGGTCAAATATCACCACTGTTCTGTTTATCATCTTGGGTTAAAATTCCCTATCACAATAGTTCGTGCACGACGTAGGTCGTGCAATGAGAGTATGATTTTATATGTATGTTTATTGATAATATACTACTCACAATTTGCTAAGGACCAAAATAGTCGTCCTTTGTGAAAGGTATGATCTTTAGGTAATGATGAGTAGTATAGTCGCTTAGGACACCGCAATTCGCTGTGCAGGATTGCCTCCCTTAGCCGTGCAGTACCTGCTTAACGTGGGTTCGAATCCTTGCCACGTTCCGATTATAAATCCCCTGTGTGTCAGTTCCAAACTCGTGCTGTTAGGTGGGACACATATTTTCCAAATGTATGTCGACAGATTGAATATATCAATCTGAAACTTATTCCATATACTGTTCCCCTATGCAACATAATATTCTTATCGTAAGAGGCGACTAACGGGAGCGGGTGGTCGGACTCGCTGACTTTGTTGATGCATGTCATCGCGTCCTAATTGTGCCTCCATATAATATTGCCGAATGCGGCGTTGAGCAGCACCCCCCACGCGTGGATCGATGCTCATGATGTCAATCACTGGATTGTCTGGTCCAGACTCGATAATTTACAGACCGCAATCATATAGCTGGAATATTGCTGAGTGCGGCGTTAAACAACAAACAAACAAACAAAACAATAATGAATCTGTACTTGTTTCACCAAAGTGGCAAATGTCTTTGTATACATCGGGTTTTCCTTCAACACGAAGGTGACACGCCTCGATATAACTGAAAAACGCAAACTCACTCAATATTGGAATTACTTAAGAAAACAACGACACTGGAAAGAGTAAGTGTGACACCAAACCAGGTCACGTAAATGTCATTTTGAATACAATGTACTATTAATGTAATCTATTGAGATCGCGACCACATGTATCGAAGATGCTTTATTGAACAGTGTGTGTCGTTCGACATTGACTAGTTGTTGCTGATTTAGATAACGCATAACAATATATATGTCGATATTGGTGACTGCTAAAATGTATGTTATTCAGATGAGTGTTGGGGGCACAGGTGGCCCAGCCGTCTAAGGCTCCGCGATTCGTTGTGCAGAGTTGCGTCCCTTAGACACGCCAGAAACCTATGGTTGTGGGTTCCAATCCCGGTTCGCCCCGATTATGTTTCTAGGTTTGTCAGCACCATACTCGTGCTCGTGGGTTTCACCAAAGTGGTAAACGTCTGTGGCCTGCATCACTTCGGGCTCTCCTCCCACATTAAGCTGACACGCCGTGATAAAACTGTAATACTGTTAAAAGCGGCGGTAAACCCAACTCACTCACACAGATTAGAGTGAGTGAGTTGGGTTTTACGCCGCTTTAAGCACACCAGAAATCCAGGTTAGAGCAAAAACATATTATATTAACAAAGAAGACCCTCGCAATAGCTCTACGGTCAAGCACAAACATCATGTCAGTGAGAACATTCCATACACGATGATCACACACCATATCTTCGTCCACATAACAGATGCGTAGAATATGTGTGGAGTTGCGGCCCTTAGCCTGCAAGGATCCGAAATCATTCCCCTTTTTTCTGTGTCACATAAAGCTGACAACCAGGAATATTTCTGATATACACTCACTCACTCACTCACTCACTCACAATCAGGACCCGTGTTAGAAAAGGTACTCACGCACTCTGGTTCATGTCGGATAGGGTGGTCAGGCTCGGTTACTTGGTTGACCGCATGCAATCATACCTTGCGGGTGGGACGTTGCTCATACTATCAACCACTGGCTTGTTTGGACCAGACCTGTTTACTTACAAACCGGCGTCATGTAACTGCAATGTTGGTGAATGTTGCGTTAAAAATCCTAAAAGAAAACATTGTGTAGGGGCGGCCGGGTAGCCCAGTGGTTAAAGCGTTCGCTCGTCACGCCGAAGACCCGGGTTCGATTCCCGACATGGGAACAAAATGTGAAGCCCATTTCTGGTGTCCCTCGCCGTCATATTGCTGGAATATTGCTAAAAGCGGCGTAAAACCATACTCACTCACTCACTCAGTATATATACTAATCATTTGACTTTTTCTCAGGAATGTTGGGTGCGGCGTAAAACAACAAACAGAACGAACAATTATTCCATCGACAATATTGATGGTTCCAAGCTTTTCCTCTTAACCCCTCTCGGTAATCTCTGTTGACACTGTAACTCAATAATGCAGGCCAATAAATGAGACAACAGCACGTTTTTATTTACATCAATTCTTTTATTTGTGGCTTCTATGATTGACTCTGCCGATTCAAAGATTGATGTTTTATTACAATGTGATATTGTGCGGCGTCGACACCACGCAAGGAATTACCCTATGGCATTATTCCTTTCCGAAATTACGTGGGTGGTCTGACACGCGATCTTTTCCTTTGACGCAGAGATAGAATTGTATTGATGTTGTGTTACGATATTTGCAAGCAGGGGGGACGTGACTTTTAGATGGAATTGAGTTTCAATTTGAAATCCGATCATACTGAAGTATCCCCACGACTAAACCCAATGGAGTGTTTGTTTTGTTGTCTTAACGCCAAAGCCCCAAACATTCATGTCAATAAAAGTACATTTAATAGTTAACGAACTTAAATATTGTGATTTTATACGATAAGGCCAGATCTAGTTTACCGATGTTATTTGTGAACAATCTTTGTCGGTATGTGGGTGAAATAAAAAAAAAGATATGTTTCTACACAAAAGTTATGTGAATATGTTACTATGTAAGGAGTGTTATTTAAGTCTGTCTGGTCTATTTTATACCTATTGGTTTGCAGTGCTACCTGTTGTATGTATTTTGTGAGGTCCCAATATCGGATTCAAGTCCCGAAGTCTTTTTGGCAATTGGCACCATTTGGTAAGAGCATAACCTTTAACCTTGACCTTTAACACTGACCTTTAACACTGACCTTTAACCTCTTACAGTAACGACAAATCAAAAGATGAAAAAGCAAAGGCTGAAAAGGGGAGGGAGAAAGTTGGTGAAAAGTCTGACAAATCTGAGAAGAAAACCGCTGATAAACACAAAGAATCTAAACCGAAGGAAAATACCAAAAATACGAAGGGTACTAAAACTAAATCAAAGTCGGAAAAGTTCAAAGGTGAAAAGAAAATGCAGTCAGGCTCCAAGACCCCCATGCTGGCTGAAAGAAGATCACCTGATGGACAGAGCGATGAAATAAATGATAAGAAGAATAAAGATAAGGATGACGAGAAGGACGACAATGCATGGGACACGATGGAGGTATGTCTTTGATCACAATATCATCGTATAATACCTCTTATGTTGAGGGGATAGTGGGGTAGCCTTGTGGTTAAAGTGTTCGCTCGTCACGCCGAAGACGCGGGTTCGATTCCCCACATGGGTACAATGTGTGAAGCCCATTTCTGGTGTCCCCCGCCCTGATATTGCTGGAATATCGCTAAAAAGCGACTTAAAACAATGTTCACTCACATTTATGTTAAGTATTTCTAAAAAGTATTTCTAAAGTTTGTGTATGAAACACTTATGGGTATATCATCCATATTCTAAGTTGTCAATAAACGACATGATTTATGATAGCATAACGAAAGATAACATATCACTGGCAAAAGCTTGTTTGTTCGCCGCACTCTGCAATATTCCAGCTATATGATCCACTCTGTTGACACGATGTCACGGAACCATACACATCACCGAACGCGATCACCCGATCTATTAAGTCGCCTCGAACGACAAGCACAGGTTGCTGAGGGCCAATTCTGACCCGGAATCCTGAAGGAAATTGACTGGAAGAAGTAGTGCTCGTTACCAAAATAGCCAAGCAAAGATATGTTGGGGTCGAATGTTGTGTAGATATTAACCCCTAGGTTTACATACCTCTGAACAGTGCACCCTCATCTGTGCTCAAACAACTAACACAACAACAACAACATAATACAAATGAATGGTTTCTTCAAAGAACCACAAAGGCTTGAACTATCAGTCACATGCTCTACCTGAACCAATGTAATCCACCCATGATTTTCTGTGCCACAACTCACTGCCCAGAGTTACAACATTTTAACGGACACCATACTTTTGTATATTTTGACTAGATGTCCTTTGGCCCAAAATGCAGAAAATGAATAATTACACATACCGCTTTATTAGTGAGTGAGTGAGTATGATTTTACGCCGCTTTTAGCAATATTCCAGCAATATCACGGCGGGGGACACCAGAAATGGGCTTCACAAATTGTACCCAGGTCGGGAATCGGACCCGGGTTTTCGGCGTGACGAGCGAACGCTTTAACCACTAGGCTACCCGGCCGCCCCTTATCGCTTAATTAAATAAAATAGTTGTTAGTGCTTTGTACTTTGTAGACTACGTATATGGCACACTTCCATACCATGTTTCTGCCACAGCCTTGCATCAAACTTTCCTTTGTGGATTACAAGGGGTTGATATATTGTTATCTGCTGTCAAAACATGGTACTCATCTTCAATATGTTTCTCAAAGCAAGACCCCTTGGACTATCTCACCCGAGTGTCTTTTGATATCAGATATATCAACACGAGTTGATAAAAGTGGAAAAACTCCGAGGCTTCCCGAGGAGTTTTTCAACTTTTATCAACGAGTGTTGTTGATAGATTTGATATCAAAAGACACGGCGGTAAGATTTTATTTATCATCCAACAACATTTTTCCAATTTTGTCAGTTTTTAAGACAGTAATTAGCAGTGTCTTCAGTGTAAAAAGTACTGGTAACAGCTTCAGTAGCAGAGCCATTAGTGATGTCATTTGATTGTGACGTCATGGTAACCAGTGACGTCACAATGGTCTGCAAAGCATTGTGAGTCAATTTCATTGCAGCGATATCTACAATGTAGATATCGCTTGATCTCACCCAAGCGAAATCTCCTGTGGGAGCCAGTTTTGGATGATAAAATGTCTTCCATTTGAATCATCAAGTCAGAGTTAAAATAAAATATATAAAAAATGTGCAAGCAGGATGAGGTGAAATTGGGTTTAAAGATTATTGCACTTATAATGGGACTGTAAATGAGTAAGTAAATTCATGGTTAGATATGTCCTGTATTATGTACCTAAATAAACACACCAACAACCCAAAAACAACAAAAGGTCCTAAATTATTCCAGGAGCGGTTTTAGAGTGAACTGTCATCATGTAGTACAAAGCCATGTAATACGCCTCTGTTGTAATTGCTTCTCTGTAAATAGAAAACACCCAACAAATTATTCTTCATTACGTCCAATCTTCAGTCATTACAAATTAGTCACTCCAACATCAAAGCCATCTAAACTGCCATCATTACCGGGGTCCTTTATATTCTATAAATTTCCTTCAACATGTCTCACTTTAATCTCTACACGTAATTACAAAATAAAACCTCTGAAAAAAGCACAAGAGAGTCCTTTCAGTACCACGGCACCATTGAGTCAAGATCCCGTCTCGTAGATCAAATATGTCCAATATTTATCCGGAGTTTAGGCAAAGCATTAAAATCCATTAAAGTCATCTTCCTTGTTCCTGTCGTGAGTTGCGAACAAACAGTTCGGGGCAACAATCCTCGTCCCTGTTCGATAAGGCAATAATCCTCCCTACCGTGAGCTCTTATGCTAACTGTGTGGGCAGGGACTCCGATCTGTCGTGGTGCTTTGGTATTTGCTCTCATTGGATCGGCTGGTGTTGGAATTGCCTTGTGCCGCACAGGCGACACTATATCAGCATACAAATAAATGTGTAATTTGAAGTACGTCTCAAGGGATAAAACCCAAACAAAGTTCAAGACGGTCGACAAATGTTCTAAAATGCAATCGCTGAAACTAATACTCTTGGAGAATGCATGTTTCAAGACACAAAGTTATTTTCTGCTGTACAAACATGTGATTTGTAAGCGGGTTCAGCTGTATCTCCGCACTGTCAATACCTCAGCCTGATAGTGATCTGTTGTAAGCGGTTAAGGTGTTTGTATAGACAGAGGCGATCTCGTTAACTTGAACACGGCCTTGCAGAGCAAGCGTTTTCTACAGAAATATGATTTTGATAAAAATATGATTTATTCTGCTAGAGCTAATAGACATATTTAGATCCGGTAAGAGTCTTTGATCTCCTTTAGGGAATCTGATCCGAATGTCGATTCACTACGTGACTTAATTCACTGCCCTGTATTACGCTGACCTTGACCTCCACTCAACGCGAATATCCTTTCAGCAAAGACTTGGTGTTCTCATTATCTGAATGATCGCATTGAAATTTGATACTTATTTTGTTTGTGGTGAGTCCCGATGGGTGAAGTTAGTGATTGATAGCATGATGATCACCGTCTGTGGGTCGTGGTCTAGTGGATAGAACGTATGCATGGCCGGAGGGGTGGTGGTTCGATCCCCGGCAGCGTCATACCGAGAGACGTTAAACTATGACATTTGATGTACACCTGCCTCCGGTTAGGCATACAACAAGGACTGGTCGTCTGTTCGATAATGTGTGTGAGTAGGGTATCCCTGTTTAACTGCAGCATAGTAGCTCGGGAAGTCAGGCTCGCTGACTTGGTTGATGCATGTCATCGTAACCCAATTGCGTAGATCGATGCTCATGATATCAATCACTTGATTTTCTGGTCCAGACTCAATGATTGACAGACCGCCGTCATATAGCTGGTATATTTGCTGAGTGCAGCGTTAAACAAACAAACAAACAAACAAACAAACAAGCACGTCGTTGTATAAGTGCAATAAATATCTTGAACGCGACTTTGAACCCCATTTGTCTTCACCTCACCACCTTTCTTGAAATACAGTCCTCCATGTCACACAATGTGGTTTCACTGCCAATGAGATTGGTCTTATGTTATTTTCATCCATTTTGACCACACGATACCCAGATAGAGTCGTTCAGGAAAAACCGTAGTTACGCGGCACGTATTCTGCCATAGATTCCCAAAGGGTTATTTTTGCTTGACTGAGTTATGTTCGATAGATCTGGTTTTCTGAGGTCTCTGGGGCTTCCCGTAAAGAGTTTGCCCCTCTGATGTTTTTCGCTCAACTTGTGTCTGTCACATTTAAACCCTCAAACCGATTCTTTACGCCTACTTGTCTTTCTAGCCCACAGGGACGATCAAGGCAGCGACTGACTTCAAGCTGGAAGAGCAGTGCAAGATTTTGCATGATGCGATGGATGGAATCGGTAAGGCTGTGAACACTTGTACCGTGAAGTGGTGAATATCGGAGAAAGGAGACTTATATATTATCAAATTGTGTCTTAATGATGGTTACACAGTCGCACAAACTGTACTAATCTTACCAGAAAGTATATATATTATTAACCATTGCATCGTAATTCAAAATAACCTTGGTTTCTTCCCCTTCTGGCGCTGTATGATGACATCGAAAACGACTACGACAACAATAACAACAGCAATAATGATAATGTAGTTGATGAATTGTAAAATAGCCATGGCTATTCATTTCATGAAGGGAAGTGAGGAACTTTGTTGCTGTTTTGATTTTCATATAAACGGGTCATTTCTCACATAGAACTGGATCATCGTTGTGTTGAGCGCAAGTCCGTAGCACGGATGTACTCAATATTACATCCGGGGCGCGGGCGGCCCAGTCGTCTAAGGCGCCGCGACTCGCTGTGCAGAGTTGCGTCCCTTTTGCGCGCCAGAAACCTATGATTGTGGGTTCGAATCCCGGTTCGCCCCGTTTCTAGGTTTGTAAGCACCACACCCGTGCTCGTGGGTTTCACCGAAGCGGTAAACGTCTGAAACCTGCATCACTTCGGGCTTTCCTCCCATATTAAGCTGACACGCCACGATATAACTGGCATACTGTTAAAAGCGGCGTTAAACCCAACTTACTCACTCAGTATTTCATTAGTACATATGGTACGGCTATAGATATAACTACAAATATATCATAGAACGTGTTCGTACAAATAGGTACGGACGAGGGGGCCATCATCACAGTTCTGACATCTTGCAACAACTCTCAGAGACAACAGCTGAAGAAGACGTACAAGAAAACATACAAGAAGGTAAGTCTGGTTCCTTTATGTTCCGTTTCTAAATTTGTCAACGTGAAATTCGCATATTATACGTCTGTTCACTTGGAGAAGAGTCCCGTAACGTGACAGCGAAACTGGAATACATAAGTATATAAAAGTCACAGCGGAAAATAACTGTATTCTGAAATTAGATGACGTATCTTTTAATACATATTCATGAAGACATATCCTCGACTTTAAGGTCGTGATTCACAATTTGTTAGTGCAAGTTAACAATTTGGATGTTTGCATGTTTGCATGTTTGTTGGGAGCATGCTCCTCATGCACGTGGTTTTTAAATGTCTCCTTTTACCAGGTCTCGGTTTTGTAAGTGAATTTGTTGTTGTAAATCATTGATCAGATAAAGGACCAAATATTATGTAGTTATTTTCTATTTTGATCACCTTATGCGAAGCACAGCTATTTATTTCTGCCAGTGCCCGCGAAGACCTGGATTATATTCCTCATATGATTACAAATATTCATGTCATATTTTCAATTACCCATTATCCCAAATTGGAACATAACTCAACGTTTTACGTCAGGTCTCATCCACTGTGAGTCTTCGATCAATGACGTGGAAGTTAATAACGCAACGATCATAGCTGCGTACCGTTCCACAGACTGATGTTAGTTCTACGACTGTCGGTCAGTGTTAAAGTATTGGTGTTACGTACGTCTTAAGTCTGAGATCCCTTTGTGGAACGGGACCCTGATCACAAACACTGAACGCGTTACTCTGTCTCTCGCTTCTGAACAAATCATGTCTTGGAGTGTTACGTGTCGATTCCCAAATTAAAACAATATGTTAACCCAGAAATCTGTACGTAAAAGAACAACAAACAACCAACAAGCGGTATACGATCAACAAATGTATAACACAAATTTTACTTGGTTTACAAATCAACACAAGTTACCGCAGAGCAATTATAATGGCAATAATGTCTATCTTTAATCATCTTTCATTGATAGGCCAATTGATCAAACACAATAGAGCGGTAGTACAATACGATGGCACAAATATTAGGATGGCAGTGGTCAGTATCAAATAAAAAAATACAGTGTGATAGTAAAGGTCAGTGATAATAACATATATTCACCCAGCGGCGACGGTGGTCAAGCTTCTGAGATGGGCTAGGAATGACGAGCGATCCTCACAGGAAAGCTGGTTCCGAAGCGATGAAAAACGAGAGAGTCGACATGTGTGAGAGATACCTAAACACGCTCTTGTCCCACTTATTTCGTCTAACCAGATACTGGACAGTTCCACATGTTTCTGTAACATACTATCACCGTCCGCGGTATACCGGACCGGAAGTTTACACACCTCACTAACATCTAAATATAATAACTTCTGTTAACACAATACAATGAGCGTCTACCGAATCTCAACAGAAACAATGTCACAGTTACAATCACTGTTCAAAAACAAAATATACTGTCACATAACAGAGGCCATTCTATAAAGTACGCCCAGAAATACAATCCGCTTAACAGTTAACTGTTTCCTTTGTACGAAAATGTATTGTACTCCCGACATTTCTGACACCTCCATCCATTATTGAAATAAATGTCGTCTCCCTACCCCGACAGTGCGCCGCCGAAATCCTTCAATTTGTGATAGACATAAAATTAGTGAGATCGCCGCCTACCACTCAGACAAAATGTCTTTGGCAAAGGAAATATGCTCGAGTTCTTTATGTCTACCCGATAATCATTGAGTTTTTGTAGATTAGTGGACGTTGTTGTGACGGGGGCTTCAAAATGTTATATTTCCTTGCATTCAATGTAAAATAACACCCGCAAATTTCACGACACAATGTTTAACGACATTGTAAATACAAAATGTTATCGGTCATTTTCCATTGGTAACTCGAGCAGCTGTGAAACATACATGACGTCAGTCTAGACTTACACGAGGACATCATGATAGTTGCAATGGATGACGTTCCATGACATATTGATCCGCCTTGTTGGCAGAACACAAGAAAAAAGTCGAACCTTGCCCAGTGCAACATTTTCCAACCTTGGGATGATATTTATCAAGAAAAGTATTCATACGCAGTCAATAGTCCAGCAGATTTCGTGGCTTTGAATCCGATTAAAATATTTTTTCAACCAATCATAATGCAGCATACTCTTCAATGCATTTTACAGTACACAATGGCATATGCTCATGTAATGTAGGCTCACTTAGATAATGTACCATTGTATAATCTTACGGCCGTGAAGAAATAGATTAATCTCGTGATGTACCTGTGTTCTAATTGTGAATCCAGTTTAAACAAGTTTTCAACCATATATACATTTCTGCTGTCAAAACATGGTACTCATCTTCAATATGTTTCTCAAAGAAAGACTCAGGGGCTATTACATGGAGAATCTCCTCCGAGTGTCTTCTGATATCAGATATATCAACACGAGTTGATAAAAGTGGAAAAACGCCGAGGCTTCCCGAGGAGTTTTTCCACTTTTATCAACGGGCGTTGTTGATAGATTTGATATAAAAAGACATTAGGGTGAGATTATATTTATCATTCAGCATCATTCTTCCAACTTTTTCAGTTTGTAGACAGTAATTAGTAGTGTCTAAATGTATTGCTAACAGCTTCAGTAGCAGAGCCATTAGTGATGTCATTTGATTGTGACGTCATGGTAACAATGATTCAGTGCAGTGATATCTACAATGCGTTAGGATACATGTATGTTTAATTTTATAGTCAAAATACATGATATTCATAAAAACAGATATTGACCCTGTAACCTAAATACCAGAGACGATGCGTTGTCGGACATGCGCTACCCTTACCTTGTTTAAAGAAATTGAACATTCTGCAGAATGTAATTATGTCCTGACATGAATTTAATTTGCTTTGACATATAGAAACAATACGCACGGAACATAACGCTCGTGGGTTTAATATTTAGTGTCATATCGAAGGTGATTATACTCACACGCAAAAGAAACGCAAGCAAATAGGTAACAAACACGGAACCATAAATTGATAGTACGAGTTTTATAGCATGTAGTGAAGCCTGATGGTGTTATCAATATTTTTGGTTGCATTTTGGAAGCCCCGAGTAAAAACGCAACATAAAAAACGAATCGCCAAAACGCATCATTTCAATGACTATGTGGGTATCATGCACCCATTTCTCGCGAAATCGAAAATGCACGAACTGTCACGAACTGTTGTGGGTATAAAACTGTGGCCGATTCTTGGACCTACCACTCCTTGCTCAACAATGCCACGCCTAACTCAAATTCAGAGAAACCAGGCTATCGGACGTTTGGAAGCTGGAGAGTCTGTCCAAGATGTTGCCCGTTATTTTAGTTAACATAACTACAATTTACCGTCTCCTGTATCGATACAATGCTACACAGACCACAGATGACCTTCCTCGGAGCGGTCGTCCTAGGGTCACCACACCTCGACAAGATAGGCAGATTACCCGTCAACACCAGCGACATCCGTTCCTAACTGCAAGTGAAAGTGCTCGACAGACCATAGGAACACATAATCGACACATTAGCCGGGACACTGTGATCCGACGTCTCCGTTGCAACAGCCTCAGATGTCGCCGACCAGCACGTCGTCCTGTTCTCCAACCACGGCATCGACAAGCACGACTTGTGCGCACAGGGACATCACAATTGGCGTCATCTTTAGTGGAGGCGTGTAATCTCCTCTGATGAAAGTCGCTTTTGTGTCTCCCATGCAGACGGAAGAGCCAGAATTTGGCGGCGTTGAGGTGATCGTTTCGCTGACAGAAACGTTGTCGAAAGGGATCCATGGGGTGGACCTAGCGTCATGATATGGGCAGGGATTGGACTTAATGCGAGACTTGGACCTTTGTGCTTTCTGAATGTGCTTTCGGGGACACGGCGTCACTGCTCAGCGGTATATCAACCAAGTGATCAGACCCCACGTTGTTCCATTTTTTGCACAACATCAACAACACATTTTCCAGCACGGCAACGCTCGTCCCCATGTTGCCAGAGCTACCATGGTCTTTCTGTAACAACACAACATCCGTGTTCTACCGTGGCCAGCCCTCAGCTCTGATCTGAACCCCATCGAACCCTTGTGGAATGAGGTTCAAAGGCGTCTGCACAATGTGCGCCCAGTCCCTACAACTGCCGATGAACTACGCACAGCTGCTCTGGATGTGTGCAGGAGGATCCCTAGGGCCTTCACAAATCGTCTGATCCATTCTATGTACAGGAGATGTGTGGCAGTGATCAATGCTAATGGTTGTCACACCAGGTATTGACTGACATTTTGGGTATTGACCCGAAACTGTGTAAGCCCTAAACATTTGTCAATCTTGCCCTATTATTAATTCTTGTCCTTACTTTTGAAAATAAATAACATGTATACTGCATACTCGACTTGCGTTTCTTTTGCGTGTGAGTATATCTATTGTTATTAGTCTATTAATAATCTTTGAATTTCAATGGTTAATCCATACTTCGTAAAGAAACAATAAATTTTAATGCTGATTAAACGATAGATAACTAACCGGAAAATGTTTGGTCAAATCACGTGACCTCGAATAATGACTTGTCACATGATCACCTTTGACCAGTCACATGATCAATATTAACTTCATTAACTAGAAAACGAAATAACGACTGCCAGTGGCAATGCACACTTCGCCAATCGTTCTGAAGAATCTCTTTGAATTATACTTGTTGTAAGGGGACGACTGCTAAAAGGTCAAATTCAGCACTTTATGAATGGATTTCGGTATGATAAAACACCTGATTGCTCAAGTGAGGTCCTTGTCCGAAAACAAGATTCCGCGGTCCCGACCCCAACTGTGTGGTCTGACCGGACACGCCAGAGGCCTTGTTTCCGCATAATGACCAAGCCAAGAGTAATTCTTTGTATTTGCTGTTGCATCTAACTCTGACTTACCGATTAGTAATAACAAAAAAGGGGAATTGGGGAAAACTGTATGACTGGAGTGATGACTTCAAGTTTCCGAAAGTCAGTTTTCCCTTTATGTCGAACAATGATTCCAGCAGCTCCAGCCTTTGGTGTCTACATTTCGCAACTTTTGACGTGCGGTCAAGCATGAGTGTACTACCACGATTTCAAAACGTATCACACGGCTCTTGCTCAAAAGTTGTTTGATCAGGGTTACTATATGTCAAAGCTTAAACATGACAAAAGTTTACAGACGCATCAGTAACAAAAGTGACGGCTGATTTCCTCTTTTGACTTGAACCATGTTTCCATGTTCTTTCAGGCGAACAATTGACTTGCCTTTGCACGTGTTTGTGATGGGTGCCACTGGCGGGGCAGGATATGCTCACCTTTTCGCGAAAACCTCGTTTCATAACTACTTGATAGTGATTGAGAGACACATGTGTATGATATAGTCGTAATCGTGCATTGGATATTCCTTATGATAATGGAAATGTTTTCGTCGCTTGTATATAGGTAAATGAGTCGTCAGCCAGTTACATATACCGTCGCACTCAGCAATATTCCAGCTGTTTGACGGCGCCCTGTTTGCAATCGATTTTGCACCAGGCAAACCAGTGATTGATATTGTGAGCTATTACAAATGGCACACATACACCAAGTCACCGAGACTGACCACAGATCCATTTAGTATCCTCTCACGACAATCGTAGGTTGCTGACAGCCTGTTCTAACCAGGAATCCCCAGGGCATCAGTGCAGCAGGTCACATCAAGTAGAATATACTCAGAATAGACCTGGCATTCACGACTCAGACTATCCAACTGAGAAGAATTCTTAAGCATGTTGTTCACACATATCTCACTTCAGTGACTGATGCTGTAACAGGCTTTTTCTTGTTCGACTGTTCCCACCTTCTGCCCACGAGTGTAAAAATCAGTTTTCACCATCCTTTCAGTCAAATATGTATTCTCCTACCACAGGAATAGTCCAGCCGGTCCGTATTGACCAGGCCCATGTAAATTGCGAGTCTTCATGAGGACGAGTTAGCCAGTGAATTAAATAATGAAATGTGTGTTTAGGTGAGAATGAGTTTGTTAACTGAGGGATTCTTGAAACGTCAGGCGTTGATTACTTTCGGAGATTGATTTCCAAGTCCACATTCCCAAATGAACACAGCACATCAGCGTCATTCCAAGATGTAAGTCAACCGCCCTGATGGCAAGCGTTCCGAAAAGAGACGCTGCTGTGATGGTGGTTAAAGGGCTCATGTTCAGTTGTCTTGTATTCCCTGTTGATAGAGTCCGATGTAATATGATCAGCTTTGATGTAACATGTATACAGATCGGAAACATTTCGTTTTGGAATCATGTCGTTTTTAGTAATTGTGTTTATATAAACCCTTCTTCATTTGACGGACATTCTCAGCGGACAAGAATAATTTCTCTGGTCAGCGTGTTGCATGTCATTGTAAAATTGGCACTCCTGATCAAATAGCAAACTTTAGGCACAACCAATCAATTGTTTATATCCTTTGTGATACAATAGATTCGATTTTCTTAATACTGTTACAGTAACAGTATAACAGGGCCACTCGAAGAAATGCTTTTTTTTGCCTTGTCGCTGTGTGTCAGTTTTGCTTCTTGTAGCATTTGGGAGAGCAGGCCAGATGAAGAGTGGTCAACGACGCTCAACAAGAGCTCCCACTGTTCTTGTGCGGTGACGTCACTTAAACAACATTCAAGTGCATTTATGTAAAACTTTATTTTGTTTTCCAGGAATTGATGGCGCATTTAAAAGGGGAGCTTACTGGGGACATGGAGGAAACGGTGGTCTTACTACTTATGGAACCAACAGATTTCGCAGTCGAGGGGATGCATCGAGCCATGGACGGAGTTGGAACTGACGAAAGGCTTCTCATGTATTCCACCCTTGTCCACAGTGCCAAACCGCAGGTAAATAGTGCCATGTTAGCAATAGTCACCCTTGTCCACAGCCTTAGGCCAAAGGTAAATAGTGCAATACCACCTACACTCACACTTATCAGCCATGCTAAACCACAGGTACATACACAATGGTCCATTCTGTATTAGCCATGGCCACTCTGGTCCACCGTGCTAAGCCACGGGGAAATACAAAAAAGTCCACACTATATAAGCCATCGTCACGTGGAAGATATTTAGGTTTAAGGCACCACGAACAATGTCGAAAAAAAGATCAGATTTGAGAAATGACTGCCAGGGATAAAACGGTTTCGGTGCCAGAACCAAACTCCCCACACATGCGAAATATTGTACGTGGAGCATGCCGTCCCCCCTGCACTTTGATTGAGTTAATTCTTGATTTTGACAACTCAGTTAAAGATGCACACGTAAGCTCTCTACCCTTGCCTTCCATGCAGTATTTGCGACCAGATTCTGTCGTCTACAACGTGATGAACGCCTTTGGGCTATTGTCATTTTTCAAACTGGTAGAACTCTGCGAAAGGGTTTAATATGTCTAAGTCTGTGACTTGCAGACTTTGGAACAGATTCCTGCAATGATCGGCCCTGCACAGGACGCCATAGGTCAACAGCCACTAGTCCAGGAGCGATTAATTAGAAAACAGGCTTTAAGATATAATCCCAGACAACCAATCAAATCGCTGTTCACTTGTACCAGGCCACAATTGTTTAAGTTACTGACCAGACAATTAGAAATCGTGTGCATGGTCAGCGACAGTTATAAGGCCAGGCTCACACAGTGCAGATTGTGGCTCCCGTTTGAGATCAGAGAGTGCTACGACACAAAAAGTCGGATTACTATCCTCAATGATCTGGAATGCCCTACCATTGTCTGAATGCAGTCGTATAATTTCGTAACAGAGTCTTACGGACCGGGAAAGGTCCAGAGAGGTCGGCCAAGCACTCCCGACAGTATGGTGCGTCCCGTAACATTCAGGAAACTCAGCCGATTTTGTCTAGTCGGATTGCAATCGTGACTTTGTCGTGACAGATTCTGCTGCATCGGATCAAAATCGTAACAATGCCCTGTGTTGTCTGGACGGTGTCCCGTGGATCGGAACGTTGTCACGAAGAATGGGCATAAATTGTTCATTGCCGTTTCTTGTCGATTGAGTCCAGATTGTGTCCAGCTCTTGCCGAATGCGAACCGTCTTTGTCGGTTCACTGTACGGTCACTGATCTCTGTCTGGTCGCATTGGGGAGAATCAGGACGCTGTCGGGACAGATTCGGTCGTTTTTTACCATGCGGAAGATACAAATCGGATCAGATTCTGATTGAGAACGGGAGAATCGGGCCAATTCGGCTGGAAACTGTTGAATTGGGACGCTTCCTGAACAATATCTGACTGTTTGTGTATTTTCCGCCACGAATCACAGGATCCTGATCAGACTTTTGACAAATTTTAATCGCGAATGGTCTTATCAAGTACGGCCGTAAAAATCCTGATTGTGTGACTGAGCCCTTATACCACCGTTCTAGCAGGCGCTAATGGTTTTAATGCGTAGAAACTGGGGGGATTGCTGACGTGCCTCCTGTGATGTGTCACGCTATACTTTCTGTAAAGGCGTGGACTTGTCTGGTGGCGTCCTAACGAACGTCATACGAACGTAAACGTAAGGCAAGATGAAATGTTTGGGGACGAATCTGTTGTTTGTTTGTTGTTGAACGCCGCATTAAGCAATATTCCAGTTATATGGCGGCTGTCTGTAAATAATCGAGCCTGGACCAGACAATCAAGTGATTGATATCACGAGCATCGATCTACTCAATTGGGATACGATGACATGCAAGTCAGCGAGCCTGACCACCCGATCCCGTTAGTCGCATCTTACGACAAACATAGTCGCCTCTTAAGACACTCATGGGATGCTGTAGACCAATTCTAACCTGGATCTTCACGGTGAATGAATCTGTAATGATATAGGCCGGGATCGCTATAACTGCCAGAACGCCACTGGATATTGTTCATGGAATGTTCACTGCATAGTACTACCGAGACAACATGCTGGCGCCAATAGTTGTTCCGTTTGCGCGCCAAGTGTCCACGTGTAGCCTTTCAAGACGACTAACGCTCGTGTCCCCCGCCGGGCACATAAAGTAACTGACTGCGTCCAACAGCAAAACATCAGCAGAATGCAACCTATCGTTGTTGGAAGATTCCAATTAAAAATAGGGGTCACGTGGTGGCCCATTCGTCTTGGGTTCGAATCCCGGTTCGCCCTGATAATGTTTCCAGATTTGTCACCATCATTCCCGTGCTCGTGGGTCTCATTAAAGGGATAAACGTCTGAGACCTGCATCACTTCGGGCTTTCCTCCCTCATTTAGCTGACACGCCTTGATATAACTGGAATACTCCTCAAAGAGGCGTTAAACCAAATTGACTCACCCACTCATTCACCCAAATAAATGGATCAGGTGGAAAAGTCTCTGTGACCTGACTGATTGGTACCGTCGTGCCCAGAATGTGGATTCTTTCACTGTTTTGCTTGGTTCAGACTCGACTACTTACAGGCCGTCGTCACTTGAACATTGCTGACTATAGCGTTAAACAACGTTCAGTCATTCTAAACGATGATTCAACATTGTATATGGAGCTACTACTTTAGAGGCTCTCGGAGAGTACATATTTCCTGATTTAAGTACACAATGACACTATGGGGAAATTTAATGCTGAGCTATTTTGAAGAATAAGGGTTAAGTGATCATTACCTAGCCTTATCAACATCAGCAGGCGGTTCTGCAATCTATCGATCCCCAATCCGCCTCATCACGTAATCCCCATGCATCTTTTCATCTTCCGAGTCCTCCGCTCACTGCTTGAAAGCATCTACTTGTAGTGATTCAACTTTCAGAGCACAAAATAAGATCAGTATTCAATATCGCTTAAACAGCCTATCATTAAAGAGACACACATATCTGATAGCACTATTGGTGTCGGAGGTTGGTGTTGACACGACTTGAAAGAGGGAAGCTCTATAAACGATGTTTGTCAGGGGAATTCAAGTATGGAAGCCTCGCAATGCCAAGGCGCCATCTTAACTTGTCGCTGTGGACGAGGGGGTCTCTCCCTTTGGCTGTCGATGTAGCTCCTTGCCCTTTCATCGGCCCGAGGGGTGAGGACGTGGCATAGTTATCGCTCTTCTGTCTGCATACAGGGGGGATGAGTAATCCCCAGCATCGTCGTTCTCGATAGCAACTCCATTATTTGGCTTTCTTGATTAAAAGCACAATGTAATCATGTTCTGTGAATGCTAAAGTATGGCAATATTCATTTAGGGTTTTGAATTAGCTCACTATCATTCTATTGATAAATCTATCTATATTGGTAGTGTCGACAGATGGTTGTCAATACTGATTTAATTAGTCTTTATTCTATTGGCATGTGTCATATAAACAAGAACGGACATATTGTGAAATTTGAGCACCTTAAAGCGACTGCGTGAATATAGATTCCGCTGCAGTCTGTGGTGCATACTAGTGGTTGATAGCATGAACACCCATCCGCCAGATGGACAGGGGTTGCTTGGGAGCTATTAAAAAGATTCCCAACGAGGGAAACGGTAAACAGAAATGACCGATGTGTTTAGAGTGAGCGTGTGAGTGGGTGAGCTTAATTTCACGCCGCCATGAACAATATTTCGCAGCACTCAGCGATCTAAATGACGGCGGCCTGCAACTTATTAAGCAAGGACCAGACAATATATGACAAGAGTACAATAGTTGGTAATTCAAACACTTGACATTTGTAGAGTCGTCAGTGAGATGTCGATACGTAATGCAGGTGAAGCAAAACATTCTGCTGATGAGCGTAGTCGAGGAGTATTTCTTGTACGAGTACATTGTGAGAGCGGGACATGTCGACGGCGCCTCCTCGAGTTGCTCAGGCCGCCGTCTCCAGTTGTCTAGGGCGACGTAATTCTCCGCACGATGCGTCCCATGGGCGTGCTGGAATGGTAGGATCAGCACCATACCCATGATGCTCAGTTCCATCAACGTGGTAAACGTCCAAGATTTACATCACTTCGGGCTTTCCTCCCAAGCTGACACACCGTGCTATAACTGGATATTGTTCCAAACGGCATTTAACCAAATTGAATCACTGACGCTGAGAGACATTTTATATGGAATGGAATTGGTACCTTGTACCGTACACCGTTATATACTCCAGTGCTGATAATACTATGACAGTGGAGCATGAATGCACTGCGGTACTGCAGCGTTAGAAATTGGCACTAGTCATATAGTCCTTGCCAAACTGCCCAATGGTAATGGTATCATAAGGACTAGTAGAAATTTGCCATTTTTAAGGGTTTTGCTATATGTTATCGTCATAAGGACTAGTGGACGAAAACTGTTAGTTTCTAACGCTGAGTACTAGTCTCATCCCCATTGTCCGTCGTGAACGTCAAGGACCGTTGTCATGGATAGGCGAAAGGGCGGTGGTTCGATCCCTTGACCAAGTCTCACCAAAAGACGTTAAAGTTTAACGAATGTTTAGATTAAATAATATGATTTTTAGTTTTGTCCAGTCCATCCAGTTCATACAATCCCGCACAACACGTTAGTGACAAAGTTTTAGCTCATAACACCAATTAAAGATACTTGCAAGTAGCATAGTTTACTGCTTTGATTTCTTGATATTCTACATTACACCAACATGATAATAACTCCATCTTATTTTTCAGGATCTGAAGAGTCTGTGCAAGAAATATAAAGAAGGTGAGACAGATATGTATGATGCATGGAGGATTCTACAGATCGGGTCATGCATAAAGTCATTCATCATACAAACGTCGTCGCACAAAGCCGAAATAGTACTGTGTGCGCTTTTACAAATAGTAATACTGCCAAGCCGAAATAGTACTGTGTGGGCTTTTGACAAACAGTACTACTGCCAAGCCGAAATAGTACTGTGTGGGCTTTTGACAAACAGTACTACTGCCAAGCCGAAATAGTACTGTGTGGGCTTTTGACAAACAGTAATACTGCCAAGCCGAAATAGTACTGTGTGGGCTTTTGGCAAACAGTAATACTGCCAAGCCTTAATAGTACTGTGTGGGCTTTTGACAAACAGTAATACTGCCAAGCCTTAATAGTACTGTGTGGGCTTCTGACAAACAGTAATACTGCCAAGCCTTAATAGTACAGTATTGGCTTCTGACAAACAGTAATACTGCCAAGCCGAAATAGTACTGTGTGGGCTTTGGACTAACAGTAATACTGCCAAGCCTTAATAGTACTGTATTGGCTTCTGACAAACAGTAATACTGCCAAGCCAAAATAGTACTGTGTGGGCTTTAGGGGCTGTGTGAAAGGCTAGATATCAAAAGAAGGAAAACTCACACAATGCAAAATAGGTTACTTACAACGTCCAGGTCTACAACAGGAATAGCAACTGACCTTTTCAACTCTCTTTAAGTTGACGTTATCAGCAAAATTGCTCTTTCAAAGAATAATAAAATTGCTTTTACAAAATAATATAAATGCTTTCTCAAAGGATAATATAATTGCTCTTTCACAAAATAATATAATTCCTCTTTCAAAGGATACTATAATTGCAACTATATTTTATTGCAACTATTGAATATTCTCTCCAAGAATAATATAATTGCTGTAATAATACAGGAAGGAAGCTAAGTTACAATTGACCCTTTTTAAGTTTCAAACGTTGTGTTTAATGCTGTGCACAAGGAATAATGTTAATATCCGAATCGTGGCTGTTTTGCCGTATCCGACTAGTGTCAAGTATGAATGTCTTTGTGATGAGTGAGTGAGCTGTGTTTTATGCCGCTTTGAACAGAACTTCAGTTATATCACGGCGTGCCAGTTTAATGTGGGAGGAAAGCCTCAAAGGTCTTTAACGTTTACCACTTAAAATCCATGAACACAGGTATGGTGCTGACAAGCCTAGGCACATATAATCATGGCGAATCTAGAATTCTAATCCATTATCATTGCTTCCTGGCTCGCCTAAGGGCCGTTACTCTTCACAGAGAATTGTGACGCTTTAGGTGACTGGGCCACTCCTGGTGTGTCTGGAATGACAATAGTTTGTTTGTTTCTTGTTGACCTTCCCCCGTTTCACCATAAATGTTCTATATTTAACCATCAGCGCACAAGAAGGATCTGAGTAAAGCAGTTGCGTCAGAGACAAGTGGCGTGATTCAAAAGGTCCTTCTCAACATTTTGGCGGGAAAACGTGCGCAGACGACACAAGTCAAGGAAAAAGATGTTGAAGAATCAGCCAAGAAACTTCACGGAGTATGTGTTTTCTTGTTTCAAAGTAGACATAATTTATTTATAACAACTTAATTTACTGTAATGGCCACGGACATCAGATTTGTGACCCCACGGAGTGTTTTCTTGTTTGTTTGTTTACTAGTTTTGCGAACCCGCCAACCCTAAATATCACAAATTGGAAAACAAAATGTGTTTCAAAATAGTCCTTGTTTTGCACCAACCCAGTGTATTTCTTTCAGTAAACGAACCTCAAAGAAAGGAGTTCGATATGATCATTTGAAATTGTGAGGCCTCACTACCAATGCATCCGGCCAATGACACTCGTGAGCTAAATACCAAATTCAGTCAGTCTGTCTGTCACTTGAAGTCATGTCTTTGGAAGTTTAATTTCATCTGGACCAACACCGACAAATTGCGTTTTTTTTAAAACAAACAAACCATTTCCTAAATCAAGTAATGTAAGCCACCTTTGCTTTATATTGATATATTGATTCAAATCGTTATGATGCCATTTGCAACGATTCTTGTGGATTTCGACCATGGGGGTCTGAGTAATTGATTTTCCATGTCTCGAACCAAGCTCAGATCACCTGCAATCTGTATGGTTTGAACCTTTGCCTGACCGATCATAATCGAGTATTTTTCAAAATTAAGTAAAAGTGTGAATTGTTCATATTGATGGTTTTTTTTGTAATTCCGTCCTATGTATAGATGTCTGATATATGTGCGAAACATATGCCAATTTTGTGATAACTGTTCAAAACAGTGTCATTTTCATTCTCATTCTCATGATCAAGGTTCTCGCTGCCGCTAAACAAAGATCTGAGCTAGGACATCTTATTACGGGTCACGTCAGAACGACCTTTCGCGAACTTTGACCGACTACTGAAATGACTAACAAAAAGTCGACATCAGCCAATTAGAAGGCAGCTTTCTCGAGCTTCACGGCACTCGTTTCAACCTGGCGACTTCCATTTCACACTACGCTTGAAAAATATGTTTACAATCAGTTCTTGATTGAGATTTTGAAAACTGAACAAACGAACATAACGGAATGTCTAATATATGGTTGAGATTGTATGGGAGTGCTTCCCACGCACTGTGCAACGCCTCCTACGTTCAAATGTTCATCCCACGGAAGCGAGAGACAGACGATAATTTTGACGGAATCGGTCGTACGGGTCGTAACTGTCGTTCGGAATACCCCGTGTTAACGTTTTCGAGGTTGCATGATTAGAAAACACATTCCGACTGTCACTTTCACGATCTCGTGAGCGACGCTTTGATTCGTCGGATGAAAGGTCGTTCTGACGTGACCCGAAATGGGATGTCCTCAGATCTTTGTTTAGCGATAGCGGGAACTAAGATCTGATTTTAATGAGATTGTGTCATTTTAGCATTAGGTTTGAACTGGGCTTCTATGAGTTCAGTACTTCGGCACAACGACATTACTATTCTTTGACGAAAGATTTTGTAAAAATTCAAGATTGCTGTGGAAACATGGTATTACTGGACCCCGATACAAACTGTATACGGTACGTTCATTCCAACTACTTATCGCATACAACGTATTGTATACAACTAGTTGGATCAACGAATTGTATCGAGTGAATGGCTTTGGCTGCGGAGTTACCACAATAATTATTAATTACCTTAAAATCGCCGTACATAAATCGCATCATCGCCGTGTGTGATATTGCACCAAGCGCCCCGCACCACTTTTATAAATGACATTGTGTTCACCACATGATTATATTTCCGCGAACCTGCACTGTCTCTCAGACGAGCTACACAAACGGATCTCCTGTAACATAATTTCATCCTGACACCCCAGCGTGTTTCAACGTCAAAGACAATACAGTTATACATTATACTTGCATAAAACACAGTGGTTCAAAGAGCCGATGTACAGTGATCACAGAACGGTTATTGGGTATGCTGGCAGTCCCATGAAGGATAAACAACCACAATTTCTCAAAGTTTGATACCCATCTTCGAAAAATTATTTTGAAAATGTCGACATCCTCAACGAAATTTTGTATTAAGCGAATCCTGTTTGTGGTCCTTTTCATGGTTTATAATGATGGTGCTGCAGATATCTCGAGTATGTCACCTTTCCTCTCAACTTGTTTTTTATACCTTCGTCAGAGATGCCATTCGTTTTTAGCGAGAAAATATTAAGATAGAGATGCTATTTATAGAAACACCTTTAAAGTGGACTTTGACGGATGAAAAACTTGCAGACATATTAACCGGTAGGATATATGGCAGCTGTGGGGCTGTCCTTTATAAATGATCTATACCAACTGTCTGTACAAGACAAGGACTGATCGGCTGGGAATCATAATACTGTGTCTGAGTGGGTATTCATGTTAAACTGGTATCTCAGTGGACTAGCACTATAAAACCGGCATTAGTCCGGACTAGTACGAGCAGCCACACACACACACACACACACACACGCACGCACGCACGCACGCACGCACGCATGCACACACACACACACACACACGTGCTTGCATGTCACTATATAAGTGCAATAATCCCACTTCACTTCACCACCAGATCATAACGCCATCACCACCAAAGTCACTGAATTGGTGACGAAGGCAACGCGACTCATCGATGGAGACGCCCAGACTGATGTTTTGCCCCTCGCACGGGTGCCGTAGATGCGTAGACGCCGTCTGTCTGTACTCGTCTCTGCTGACGGGGATGGTACAGGCTGTGATGGTTGCTGTCTGGAACCTGCGTCAACGATACGTGGTTCGAATCCATATATCTCAGCGAGTGGTTTTCCCGACTAGGAGGCCGCTACGGGGAAGGCTTCTAGCGTGGTTTTACGTTGATAACATCGCCTTAAATGTATTCCTATGGCTCGCCATCTGTCATTTTCACTTAGGCGTGACATAATGAAATCTCATCAAAACGAGCAGAAGTGGTGTTTTTGTGAACGCGGCACTTACGAAGATTGCTTAGATTGGCATTCAAAGGGGATTGGATATCTGGCCTTTATATGGAACATCTGCAGAAATGTCTCCTGAATATTGTTTTGCCTTTTGGAGATAGCCTTTGTAGTTGGGCTCTAACCTGATAAATTTTATATTGTATAAAATATGTTCCCAATGACCAAGTGCCTAAAACGTAACGAAACAAGACCTCAAAAGGTCCTTATTTATATCGTACTCAGTCCAACATCAAGTGAGTGAGTGAGTCAGTTGGGTTTAACGCCGCTTTTAACAGTACTCCAGTTATATCACGGCGTGTCAGCTTAATGTGGGAGGAAAGCCCGAAGTGGTGCAGGTCTCAGGCGTTTACTACTTCGGTGAAACCCAAGAGCACGGGTATGGTGCTGACAAACCTAGAATCATTATTGGGGCGAACCATGTCCCCTTGGTGTGTAAAGCCATGTGTACGGCCATAGCCATATCGTCTCCCAGTTCTCAATCACGGGATAATGGTTTCTTATGTCTGGTCAGACTGCAGATGACGCAATTCATATGGAAACCTTTTCTGCTGTCTAGTAGTTTTCCGCCTACACAGTCCTAGTGGGTTGCAGCAGGAAGCGACTGCTTTAAAACTAATCATATATTTTTTTCCATTTTATTGTTTGCTTTATCACAAAAACGAGTCTTCAGTATTCAATCTTGGTTAATCGCGGAGTCTACGTGGTAGTTTTTACATAGAATGTAATGTACAGGAACATCTAATTGTGTGAGGTTTTTGTCTGTCGGTGAATTTATTATATTATCTGATAGGAGTTGAAGTCTTTGTAAATACTGACTCGAAGAGATTGTTTAGTGTACATGGTGTTTTAAAGAAGAATACACTGAATCAGTATTATCCAGGTTAATCTTCTCTTGACTACTGTGGGGACACAGGTGGCCAAGTAATGTAAGACGCCGCAATTCGATGGCAGAAACACATGACCGTTGTTCGAATCCCACATTCGCCCTAAATATAAATCTAGGTTTGCCAGCACATGGATTTCACCAAAGTGGTAAACGTCTAAGACCTGCATCGCATCAGACTTTAAGCTGACTCTCCGTGGTGTAACTGTAATACTGACAAAGCGGCGTTAAACCTAACTCACTCACTCTTGATTACAGCAGTAGCTCATATATGAATGGGGGGCACGTGTGGCCCAGTTGCGTAAGGCGCCGCGATTCGCTGTGCAGAGTCGCGTCCCCTGGGCACGCCAGAAACCGAATCTCGGTTCGCCCCAGGTTTGTCAGCACCGTACCCGTGCTCGTGGGTTTCACCGAAGCGGTAAACGTTTGAGACCTGCATCACTTCGGGCTTTCCTCCCACATTATGCTGACACGCTGTGATATGACTGGAATAATGTTAAAATCGTCGTTAAACCAAACTCACTCACTCACTCATATATGAATGACTGGTAATACCACCTCAAAGTCACGATACGATATTACGGCGATAGACAATGTGAGTGTTCACGATCAACTAACTCGACAATTGAGTACTTTTGATGCATATTTTATATCGATAGGATTCGCTCAAAAAGATCGTATTGGTGTATAATATTGATTTTATTTAAATCCAAACCATAACCTGATCAGGGTGAATAATGGATTATGTTAGTTCACATAAATAGTTAATAAGGTTAATAAGGTTAGTTAACCATCTGATATACAAATTGTTAGTATAGCTGTTAAATGCAAGACTGAAGACCGCTACGACTAGCGTGTATTCGATTATCATATATTCTGCAACTTCTATGACTATGGTATATCGAATAAATGCAATAATTATAGCTGTCGTAGCCAAAACAGCCCTTGCTTTGACCTTCGAGGCAAGGGCAAGGGACCCACAGCCCTTCAAATAGGAGAATCTCTCTTATTAGGGACCAGTAAAAGGAACATAACGTTGTGACCCACAGTAACACCGACATTGACGTTTGACAGTGGAAAGAGCTTTTCGCGTTCCTAATGCTATTATAAAGAACTCTTCCTCCGATACCTATTGGCTGCTGAAGCTGATGTTGGCAATGTATGTCCCTTCTTATCAATGTAAAATGTCAACACCAGACTATATAAGCAGTCTCGATTATCCGCCTTAACGGATTCCATTAAGGGGATAAAACAAGCACTGGTCGGCGTGAGTGTCAGTAAACACGCACACACCCACGCACGCACACACGGGCGCATGCACACACACGTCGCTACACAAGTTCCATTATCTTGAACGCGACGTCAAACAGCGTTTTACGTCACCTTACCACGTATACCATTTATCATAAGGGCCTCGAAATTGACGTTTATTTCAGTGAATAAAAAACGACTCATAATTTTAATTTGTGAAGTTGAGGTTCGGTGGATAAAAAAAACACACAAGGGCAGAACAACGCACTATCGTCTATCATGAGTGAGCGACGTTTTACGACGCTTTTAGCAATATTCCATCATCATTGTGAGAACAAGAGAAATGGGCTTCACACATTATACCCATTTAGGGAATCGAACGTACGCGGACAGGAACGTGAAAACAACACAAGTGCCCAAGACAATCTTAATTTGTTGCCGTCTTGAACTGACTGACCAGGACATAAGCCTGAACAATGCTGACCGGTATAGAGCTGTGTATGGCTGATCTTTATGTGTCTGGGAGACCGAGGTCGTGCCCAGTCGGTGAGATAAAACTGGATCCACTAATCCCTCACGCTGACTCAAAATTCAATGATTGACTTCATGGCGTAGAATATTGTACGGGAATGTAAAGATTAATCACGTGACCAAATGACTGGCACTAAGAGTTTCGACTGATATGTCAAAATATATTAACCCCGGAGGTGACATTTTCGCGATTCCACGAAAAATGCATTGTACTGAAATCACAAGCATACGAGGTCGTGAAATTCTGGCCAAATTTCGTCGCGTTCTTATTTTATATTTTAGTGGTTGATTAAGAAAATTTAAGAAACGAAAAATTTGAGTTATTACGGTCTGCCATAAGGATGGATGTGGTTATAAAGTACCCTAATTAAGATCATCTTCAGATGGTTTGTTGAATATCCAAGCAGAGCTTGATTGAATTCGGTTGTCCTATCAAGGCACATTTTGGTCTGCAATCGGAAAATTGATCATTCAGTTACATCTGGGAAAAATGTTCCCTCAATGCAAATGCCGAGAGGTCCATCTTGCACACAGCAATTATCTATTGTCTAGACGTAGACCTAGCATTGCAATACAAGCCTGACAGAGACGGTTCATTAATATTAGGAGGATTTTAGTGGATAGCCAGACGAGCAGGGAGTTGGGAGTTAGGGGGATGGATTGGGTGCTAAAAAATATTGATTTTTTTATTTTACTTTCAAATTGCTGATGAATGGTAGGGATGATAATAATGATAGCGATACTGCTACTACCGCTAAAAAAATGAAAAGGCGATGATGATGATGATGATGATGATGATGATGATGTGGGCCATATTTTTCCTTTTTTCCACTTAATGAACTATAATATCCTACATGTGAATCAATGACATCATGATGCAGTTCCTGGGCTGACTTGGTGTCTACCGTAGACCCTGGTTCGATTCCTCACATGGATACACTTTGTGCCCCCTCCCCCCCCCAAAAAAAAAAGACGTTAAAAGATGGTACTTGTTGTTACCGTGTCTGGCGCTAGGCGTTAAGGGGCTAAAACAAGGACTTGTCGGCTTGGAGTCAGTATACCGTGTCTAAGTGGGGTATTTAGGTTAAACTGCGGCATGGTATCTCAGTGAGCTAGCACTATAAATAGGCATCAGTCCGGACTAGTACAAGCAGCCACGCACACGCACACACACACACACACACACACACACACACACACACACACACACACACACACACACACGCGTGCATGCACGTCGCTATATAAGTGCAATAATCTTGGACGCGACGTTAAACCTAATTTCACCTCACCTGAACAAGAAACAAACAAAACATCGTATTTGTGAATATTAATAAATGCGGCGATGTCCTCGTTTGGAATAGGTAGTCATGTTTATAATTTAAATACAGGGTGAATTGTAAAACCACTCACTCCCTCACACCCTCGCACACAGAAAAGACACCGTGTGATATGTAGTAGTCACTACCCACGCCTTAATGTCTCCACAGTTAATTGTTCTACCAAACCGTGTGTACGGTATCATGTTTTTGAAGGTTTTATTTTAGTATATTTTTCGCACCTTCACAGGATGGTGAAAACGCATTCAAATATGACGTCGACTATTGTGCCGACCTCCTGACAACCCTCAGCCCGAGTCAAGCCAAAGCTGTGTTTTCCCGGTACAAGGAGGTAAGATACAATCAATACCCATGGGCGCAATATGGCGGCATTAATTGACAGAATTTGAAGCCATTTCAAAGTCGTAAGAATGTTCTTCACCATTTTACAGTTTCTAGTTTGCAATTTACCATGGTGCTCTTTTAAAGTTTATGTTAGGTCGAGAGGCAATCAATTCTCGATCCACCGCAAATTGACAAGCATGTGATTTCTTCCTGATTTACTCTTTTCAAAATTAAAAGGATATATGCTTTTGGAAGTTGATGCTATATGTTTTGTGCATCTGGACAGAATTCATGCAGTTATTAGGAGATAGTTATTTTTAATGTTTTGCGCTTCCTGGTTATGCAATCATTTAAAGGTTTATTGTGATGAAAGTTTTTGTATCAACCGCACTGGATATGTGCATAACAGAATAGGTTTAAAGTAGTGCAGTCTTCTATTTAGTATTGAACACACTCCGTCGCAGTGGTGACTCAGCATAACACCACTGCCACAAGCTAATTTGCATATCACGTGACCGGACTTTTCTCTTGTTTGTAAACAAACGCGCTTTTTCAGAAATCAGTATAGAACGGACTAATGCAAGTATTTGGGGGCGCTTTACATATTGTTTTGCATAACTATATAGATATGCTACTACAACTGCGACAGTGAGTTGCATGACAATATATATTTATGCATCAAAGTGACCGTGTCGCTAGCTCTCCGTTGGGCTTCGATGACAGCACGTGGAGCCGTACAACCAATGTAAACATAGGGAAACTACGCAAAAAGAAGTAGATTTCTACGTATTTGCATACTTTCTCAATGAAAGTTAACCATTCTTTGACATTTGTTTATGAAAATGTGTAGACTTGTCAAACATGAAACGGATGAAAAGCATATGCAATATCTTGAATGAACAGTGAAAGATGTGACGAATCGTCGCATGGCGCTGGCCTGTGGCAGAAGTACTATGCTAGCTGGCTGCCGGCCGCATGGAACTCTGGGTAGGAGAGTGAGTATTGAAAAGACAGTCGATTGTATACAAATTCAAAATGCCCACTCTACCACCCTCCAACTGAACAACTAACTCAACTGTCTCCCAGTCACTCTGAACACGATCGGGGGGCACGGGGGGCCCAGTCGTCTAAGGCGTCGCTATTCGCTGTGCAGAGTTGCGTCCCTTGGGCGCGCCAGAAACCTATGATTGTGGGTTCGAATCCCGGTTCGCCCCGATTATGTTTCTAGGTTTGTCTGCACCATACCCATGCTCGTGGGTTTCATCGAGGTGGTAAAACGTTTGAGACGTGCATCACTTCGGGCTTTCCTCACACATTAAGCTGACACGCCGTGATATAACTGGAACACTGTTAAAAGCGGCATTAAACCCAACTCACTCACTCACACGATCGGTCATTTCTGCGGAAAACAGAATCTAGCATAGCCATTTCTAGTCGGGACTAAGTTTGACCCGTCCACATTGCTAGCACATGACCGTCACGTGATGTAAACATCCTAACTAGCAGTCGACAACCATAAACGCCTTGTCAGACGGAAAAGCTGGGGAAACTTAAAGCTTGTAATCAGGTTGTGGTGTATGATCATGAACAGCGATAGATCACTGATATTATTTTAGCCAATGCAATGGCCATTTGTAGTCAATGATGACTCACTCTAGTGCAGGTGTCCTCGTTAAACAACAAACATACAAATCTTTGCGATTACGTAAAGGGGCGCTGTTTGTCTCAAGCTATGGCCGCAATAACTTATACATGGGATACCACAAAAGCTCATTATTGATAGATTATAGCATCGGCGTGTTATTGGTGATTGTCGCATCGGTTTATTTTAGAAGGATGATCATAGTGTCTTATTTTAGACGGATGCCAATAATGGCTTATTTTAGATGAATGTTAATAATGGCTTATTTTAGACGGATGTCTATAATGGCTTATTTTAGATGGGTGACTACAATGGCTTATTTTAGACGGATGTCTATAATGCCTTATTTTAGATGGGTGACTACAATGGCTTATTTTAGATGGATGTTCAAAATGGCTTATTTTAGATGGGTGACTACAATGGCTTATTTTAGATGGATGTTCATAATGGCTTATTTTAGATGGGTGACTACAATGGCTTATTTTAGATTGGTGACTACAATGGCTTATTTTAGATGGATGTTCATAATGGCTTATTTTAGATGGGTGACTACAATGGCTTATTTTAGATGGATGTTCATAATGGCTTATTTTAGATGGGTGACTACAATGGCTTGTTTTAGATGGGTGACTACCATGGCTTATTGAAGATGGGTGACTACAGTGGCGTATTGTAGATGGGTGACTACAGTGGCGTATTGTAGATGGGTGACTACAGTGGCGTATTGTAGATGGGTGACTACAGTGGCGTATTGTAGATGGGTGACTACAATGGCTTGTTTTAGATGGGTGACTACCATGGCTTATTGAAGATGGGTGACTACAGTGGCGTATTGAAGATGGGTGACTACAGTGGCTTATTGTAGATGGGTGACTACAGTGGCGTATTGAAGATGGGTGACTACAGTGGCTTATTGTAGATGGGTGACTACAGTGGCGTATTGAAGATGGGTGACTACAGTGGCTTATTGTAGATGGGTGACTACAGTGGCGTATTGAAGATGGGTGACTACAGTGGCTTATTGTAGATGGGTGACTACAGTGGCGTATTGAAGATGGGTGACTACAGTGGCTTATTGTAGATGGGTGACTACAGTGGCTTATTGTAGATGGGTGACTACAGTGGCGTATTGAAGATGGGTGACTACAGTGGCTTATTGTAGATGGGTGACTACAGTGGCGTATTGTAGATGGGTGACTACAGTGGCTTATTGTAGATGGGTGACTACAGTGGCGTATTGTAGATGGGTGACTACAGTGGCTTATTGTAGATGGGTGACTACAGTGGCTTATTGTAGATGGGTGACTACAGTGGCGTATTGTAGATGGGTGACTACAGTGGCTTATTGTAGATGGGTGACTACAGTGGCTTATTGTAGATGGGTGACTACAGTGGCTTATTGTAGATGGGTGACTACAGTGGCTTATTGTAGATGGGTGACTACAGTGGCGTATTGTAGATGGGTGACTACAGTGGCTTATTGTAGATGGGTGACTACAGTGGCGTATTGTAGATGGGTGACTACAGTGGCTTATTGTAGATGGGTGACTACAGTGGCTTATTGTAGATGGGTGACTACAGTGGCGTATTGTAGATGGGTGACTACAGTGGCTTATTGTAGATGGGTGACTACAGTGGCTTATTGTAGATGGGTGACTACAGTGGCTTATTGTAGATGGGTGACTACAGTGGCTTATTGTAGATGGGTGACTACAGTGGCTTATTGTAGATGGGTGACTACAGTGGCTTATTGTAGATGGGTGACTACAGTGGCTTATTGTAGATGGGTGACTACAGTGGCTTATTGAAGATGGGTGACTACAGTGGCGTATTGTAGATGGGTGACTACAGTGGCTTCTTGTAGATGGGTGACTACAGTGGCGTATTGTAGATGGGTGACTACAGTGGCGTATTGTAGATGGGTGACTACAGTGGCGTATTGTAGATGGGTGACTACAGTGGCGTATTGTAGATGGGTGACTACAGTGGCGTATTGTAGATGGGTGACTACAGTGGCGTATTGTAGATGGGTGACTACAGTGGCGTATTGTAGATGGGTGACTACAGTGGCGTATTGTAGATGGGTGACTACAGTGGCGTATTGTAGATGGGTGACTACAGTGGCGTATTGTAGATGGGTGACTACAGTGGCGTATTGTAGATGGGTGACTACAGTGGCGTATTGTAGATGGGTGACTACAGTGGCGTATTGTAGATGGGTGACTACAGTGGCTTATTGTAGATGGGTGACTACAGTGGCGTATTGTAGATGGGTGACTACAGTGGCGTATTGTAGATGGGTGACTACAGTGGCGTATTGTAGATGGGTGACTACAGTGGCGTATTGTAGATGGGTGACTACAGTGGCGTATTGTAGATGGGTGACTACAGTGGCTTATTGTAGATGGGTGACTACAGTGGCTTATTGTAGATGGGTGACTACAGTGGCTTATTGTAGATGGGTGACTACAGTGGCTTATTGTAGATGGGTGACTACAGTGGCGTATTGTAGATGGGTGACTACAGTGGCTTATTGTAGATGGGTGACTACAGTGGCGTATTGTAGATGGGTGACTACAGTGGCTTATTGTAGATGGGTGACTACAGTGGCGTATTGTAGATGGGTGACTACAGTGGCGTATTGTAGATGGGTGACTACAGTGGCTTATTGTAGATGGGTGACTACAGTGGCTTATTGTAGATGGGTGACTACAGTGGCTTATTGTAGATGGGTGACTACAGTGGCTTATTGTAGATGGGTGACTACAGTGGCTTATTGTAGATGGGTGACTACAGTGGCTTATTGTAGATGGGTGACTACAGTGGCTTATTGTAGATGGGTGACTACAGTGGCTTATTGAAGATGGGTGACTACAGTGGCGTATTGTAGATGGGTGACTACAGTGGCGTATTGTAGATGGGTGACTACAGTGGCGTATTGTAGATGGGTGACTACAGTGGCGTATTGTAGATGGGTGACTACAGTGGCGTATTGTAGATGGGTGACTACAGTGGCGTATTGTAGATGGGTGACTACAGTGGCGTATTGTAGATGGGTGACTACAGTGGCGTATTGTAGATGGGTGACTACAGTGGCGTATTGTAGATGGGTGACTACAGTGGCGTATTGTAGATGGGTGACTACAGTGGCGTATTGTAGATGGGTGACTACAGTGGCGTATTGTAGATGGGTGACTACAGTGGCGTATTGTAGATGGGTGACTACAGTGGCGTATTGTAGATGGGTGACTACAGTGGCTTATTGTAGATGGGTGACTACAGTGGCGTATTGTAGATGGGTGACTACAGTGGCGTATTGTAGATGGGTGACTACAGTGGCGTATTGTAGATGGGTGACTACAGTG